CCGACCTTGGGCGCCCGCGCCCCAAAACCTCGGGGTTATTGTTCGGAGACAACGATCTTGGGTTTAAGTTTTATTCTTTGTGCCTTTGTGGTTGGGTTTTTTTGGTGGGTTTTTTTTTGTTTTTGTTTTTCTTTTTCCCCCCAGTGCGTAACAATCAAAACTCGTTTTCTTTAATTAAAAACAGCAAATGGGTTTTAACAGCCAAATAAAAAAAAAAAAACTCAAAAAAAAAGTCACAAAATGGAGTTTTAGCGAATTTGAAGCTATTTTTTCAGTGTAGCAAGTTGTAAAATGTACAGTATCACAGCTGACCAAGGCAAAGAGAAACGCCCAATAAAGTTTGAAATGTATAATCCTGACCCCAAATCTGTACACCTGTGTGTCTCTATATATGCATATATCACACACATATAGCACATAACTATATGTGTGTGCATGTGTATATATATATGTTTAAAAATGAATGGATACACGTGTAAGGGTAAGGGAATAAAATGTCATTGACCTTTCCACAATTTTGTATGTAAGTTTACAACTATGTGTAAGTTTTTCTATGATGTGAACCTTTTTTACTTCAAAAGAATTCATTTTTGGAAAGCTTTAAGTTGTGATACTCTATCATTTTTTGAAGTTTAAAAAATAATAATAAAAAAAAATAGACTTTTTACCAGTACCTACAACAGAGGGGGGGAATCTTTGCTGTAAAATTGTATTTAGTTTAAATATTAAAGAAAAAAAATCTATATACGGGATTGTAAAAGTGCTGACATTCCATCGTGGCAGGACTTCCAAGCTGTTTCCTAAGGCTTTCTGCTGCAGAGAGACTCGAACAAAAGGAAAATGCCTCTGTTCAGTGTTTTTATAAAACTGCTCCATCAGGTCTAGACTTAAGCTATATTTTCTAAAGCCTAATCATCCTTTAATATGCTGCAGATAAATGATCAGCATGGTTGCACTTTCTCAGTAATAATGTTTGCCCTGCAATTGGCTCGTGACAAGGACTTTAGTTTTTTAACAAAACCAATCGTACTTTGGGCAGAAGGTAATATTTATATAGGTACCTCAAGATAAAAAATAAAAAAAAGAGCCTGAATATGCTGCATTTTGTTTCTTTAACATTTTTCATGTAGCATTTGTTTGCTTTTATGATTTTTTTAGGAGATGACTCAGCTACCTGTTTGCTTTTGGGGGACCCCGGTAGCATTTTAGGCCGTTGTTTTCTCTGGATCTCATAGAATGTAGTATCCTGCCTTGGGATCGTGCAGTGGTTTGGGATGGGATGTGCCCATGGGGAGGGGGACCATGGAAATCCGCTTTACATAGACTTCAGGAAGAGGAGGAAAAGGATACTATATTCCCAAAACAGACAATACATGTTCCTAATTCTTAATTAGATATTTTTTCTCCTGCTCATTCTGCTTTCCTGACTCTTTTCTCAAACATGAGTGTGGAAAGGGGCAGCTTATTAACAGGGGGGAACAAAGTGACCCAACTTGCCCTGTTGTTGGCAGGTGTTTTGGGGCTGCACCAAATTCCCTGAACTCCCCAAATCCCTTGGTAAAAGCTGTGCCCTGTGTCAGAGCAGGACGCTCCTGCTCTCTGCCCTCTCCCTGTGCAGGTCCATCCTCTACTCCTTCATTTCCAAATCAGTGAAAATCTAAACATGGTGCAGAGATGGGGAATTTTTTTGTTGAGAACTGTTTGAAGGAAGCTGCAAAGGCTGTGAAATCGAGCATTTATTGTCATGTTTTTAAGCTTAGGTGGGTCCTTTTCCAAGTTTGTTTTACAGCTTGCAAGGTAAAATAGTTTGCACTACTTTTGCAATAAACTCATGAAAAACCTAACAGGTTCTGTTCTGGTTTCTTACTGTATATATACAACTAATACTAAAGATTTAGCGTAGTGTTTTTCACCTCAAAACATAAGACTCGTAACAAGCTCAGAATGCTGTAATTCCTGACGAAATAATGATGTGAATGATATTTTATAAAGTTATTTTGTATGGTGTCAATTTTGTTTTGCCTCATAGTATGTCAATAAAATAAAATTCCTCATCTTTACAAGATACTGTTTGATGTCTTTTTGTGTAATATTTGGCCATTTTCTGCATTTTGTGCACTGTGAGACTGTTCCATGCGTGGGCATGTTGAATACAGGAATATTCATGGCCCCAGTCATTTTCCATAGTGAGTAGAGAATCACGGAATTGTTTAGGTTGGAAAATACCTCTGTGATGATCCAGTGCAACAATTAACCCAGCACTGCCAAGGCCACCACTAAACTGTGTCCCCAAGTGCCACATCTACACGGCTTTTAAATTCCCCCAGGGATGGTGACTCCACCACTTCCCTGGACAGCCTCTCCCAATGCCTGACAACTCTTTCTGTGAAGAAATTTTCCCTGATGTCCAATCTAAACCTCCCTTGGCACACCTTGAGGACATTTCCTCTCATCCTAACACTCGTTATGTGGGAGAAGAGACTGACCCCCACCTGGCAACAACCTCCTTTCAGGGAGTTGTAGAGATCCAGAAGGTCCCTCCTGAGCCTCCTTTTCTCCAGGCTGAGCAAGAGAAGGTCTCTTGCCCGAGAGCCCAAAAGCTCTGCTCCCATTGCCCTCCCTTGCATTACACCACTCACCTCTGTTTTGGATGTTTCCCTGTGCACTGACCTCCTCTTTGCCCAGCTTTCCAGAGACAAGATTTGCTGCTTTAACAGCTTACAAGTCATAATCCTGGAATTATTTATGGAAGGTGCTTTGGAAACCACTTGCCTGAAATCCTGCCTTTTGTTGCTTTCTGAGTGAATTCCTACAGTGCTCAGTTTTTAAATGGAAAAGCTGTGAGCACCTGGTGTGTTCTATAAAGCATTGAGTGAAAGAAGACACCCAACAGAACTGCAAGGATGACGAGGAGCTTCCTTTGGGAGCCCAACCCTGCAAACACAGATTGGTTTTACTCAATAATGTGAAATGATGTCCCAGCTGTCCCTTCCGTTTATTTTTCCCCTTGTTTTTGAAACTTTGCTTTGAGTTGCATGTGGTTTTGCTCTGTCAGGCTCTTGGGGAAAACAAATAACCCTTCACTGGTTTGATGGCAACAAGCTCTGGCAGCTGCAGGGCCTCGGGGATGGCTGTGGCAAATTTTGGCAGCTCTGAAGTTCCCATCGAGGATTCTGGCTGAGTGAATCCAGAAGGGTGTGCACGTTCTTGTGGCCTCAGTAATTCACAGAATATGTTCATCATCCCACAGGAAACTTCTAAGAGGGATGAAATATGGTGATTTATACTTAGTAACCACAGTCCTTTTGTCATTTTTTGCAGGCTTAGGAAGTTTCATCTTCTTTGAGCAGCTTTGGCTGGGGGTGGGAAGGACTTCACAAGCCATTACTGGAAGAGGGGGAAAAGATAGAAATATATAGTAACAGATTCATCCTGCAAAGTGTCCCCTGGCCTGTGTTCCACTCTCTAAAATCCCTGAACACCTCAAACAGGTGAAGATACTTGGTCACTTTTGAGGAAGTTCATGTTCAATGATGTGTTTTGTAGCTGCAGCTTGTGGATGTGGCTCTTCACTTCCTGCAAGGGATAAGGGTGGACTGGGAAGTGTCACTTGAAATGTTATCCTGGTGTCCCAGTGTCTGAGTCCGTCTCTGTGCACATCTGATCCCACTTGGAATGTAGTGCCTTTTGTTAATGTGCTGGTTTGGCATTTCTGGTTGTGGAGGGTTGACCTTGGGGCCAGATGTGCAAGTACCTTTTTTTTTATTTTCCCAAAAAACAGGCACATCCTGCTGCTGGCACCCCCTCCCCCCAACAGACAGCATTCCATGCTCAGTTTCCCACAGATCTCCATGCATTTTTAATAAAAATATTAAAAAAAACCCAACAAAACCACCAAACAACCCTTTCAACAATGGAGTAGTTTAGCATAAACCCACTTGGGAACTTCTCTAGGGATCCAGCATCACTCAGCACTCACTGCAGCATTCCTGGTACAATACCATTTTCATTTATGGCAACTTAGGGAAGTTTTTGTAGTGGAACATCCTTTGATCTTTTAAAATAGCATTTCTGGTGTGGCTCAGTAGCTTTGCAGCTCTGCCAGTGCCTGCTCTTACCTGCCTAACCTCCACTGTGCTTTCCTAGCACCAGTCTGGAGTGTGTTGGATTATGGAGCTGCTGGAGCTTACTGCCCTGTGTTTTAAGAGCAGTTTAATGTGTCTTCAACCCAAGAGAAGCAGTTGGTGTCATCCTGACAGGAAGGACAGTTCCCTTTGCCATGCCAGCCAAAATGGGGTGTTGAAACAATAAACTCCTGACTGATTCAGGGCAGATCACTGCCCAGTTTTTTTGGAGTGGGAGGTCCTGTTCCCTAGGAACATTCCCATTCTTACCTGGGGCATTCTCCACACCTGGGGCAAGAGATCATGACTGACCATGACTCTCTGCAAACACTACTACACTGGTCATGATTGAAGCTGGAAAGAACAGAAAGTTTCTGCACCAACTGTCAGTTTTCATACAAAACATTTATTTTAGAAAGTTGCATGTAAAGTTCCACACAGGGCGGCTGCCATTTCTATGGTAAAAAAACAAAACAAAACCAACAAAAGAAAATAAACCACAAAACAACAAACCAAAACCAAGTGAAAAATCCAACTCTGTCACTCCAATGGCAAAGGAGTTGCTCACTCTCAGTAATTCACGTCTAGTAAGACTTCAGTGTGCATTTTGGAAGGAGAAACTGCAGAAATAGAGTTCATTAGAGAAAAAGGTCCTAGAAGTACATATTTACATCATTTTCTAACATATTTACTTTTACCACCACAACTGCAGAACCTCATAAGCCCTTGTAATGGATCTCCTCAACCCTGTTTTGGTGCCCACATGGTGTCTAGGCTGCATCACAGAAGTAGCTGTTTTTAAAGACTTATTTAATGGACTTGGTCCACTTTTGGAGCTTTTGGACTGAAAGCTGCCTGTAAGAAATTTTAAATTTGGGTACTGATTGTCTGAAAAGTAATTTTAAATCATCTGAGCAAGCTCTGCTGTCAGATTTACACTGTGTCCTCCTACCCCGCCGTGTTTCTGAGGGTAGAATTCCATTCTTCAAAAAGTATAAAGTTCAATTTCTAAACTTCTTAAAGCAAAAGCAGATGGCTCAGTGTATAAATATATCCAGCATCTGGATTCTCAGTCACAAAAACATCCTTTATATGACAGAAAGTGGATTGACTATGAAGCAATTCTCCGTTGGCCTTAAGATCCAACACTGTCACCAACAGTTTTGTCTTCATCCTCTTCCTCCTCATCCTCTTCATGCCCTTCCCCCACTTCTCCATCTCGTTTCTCTTTTTCAAGCATCTTTAGGTATTTGCTCGCTAGGATCTTCTTTGGCAAGATATCTGGAAGGTAGAATTGTTGCTTTTATAGTTAGTTTTGAACACTTACATTGCCTCATTAATACTATTGCATCCAAATCACTAATGAAATGGAGTAAAAAATAAATATTAGTATTTTTAACAAAGCTCAAGTGAATAACCAGGTGAAACAGTCTGACCTATACAGCTGTAAGAGTAACAGGGAATTACCCACTTACGGTACAAGTAACCAAAGATAAGGAATATATTTTACGACTCATTACTGGCAACCGTCTTTACTGTCTGCTGATGTGCATTATTTATTTGATGGAAAATAGAGTGCTCAGCTGCCTGGATCCAACAAGCCATCTCTCCAATTTATACCCTGTAAAAATGTTTTGTTTTGGTGTGTTTTTTTTTTTATTAAGATACTTATTCAGGGCAATAATGGACCTGAGACAAAGCAGAACTGTGTCCTCTGGAAGTATGTCCCTGGGGAACCCAGAGAAAGACTGGATTACTCTGAGCTCAGTGTTACAACACAAATCCAAGTACCAGTAAAAACTGCATGCACACACATGTGTGTACCTATATCTAAAAGGAAAGAGGGACCATACAATGAAGCCCTTTCGCTTAAAACATAGAGATTTCTGTGTGGGTCACTTTTGGTCCACGCAACTTCTCACCTAAAGATGTGCAATGATCTTTTATGGGCTGAAAGCTTTCAATGGAATTGTAATTTAAGAAATGCTTAAGGCAATATGCTAAGAACTATATATAGTATAATAGTATAATTTAGAGGCAGAAGAAAAATCCCCATTCACAAAGAAATGTTTTCAGCGATGTAGTTTATGAGTTCCAGTTGAATGTTATACAGGAGATCAGTGACCAGCAGCACAACTGGGTCCTCACAAAACAATGCGTTAAGACCAAGATTTCATTGTCTAAATCACAGACTGGATTTGTCCTTGTAACATCAATACCTGCAAGGAACTGAAAGGTCTCACACTCTTCTGCTGTATGAGACAGGTCAGTGTAAGTCAGAGCGTTCTTCTCCTTCCCTCTGCCGTGTTTGTAGGAGTATGAAGCCAAATACTGAACAAAAAGCTCCTAAAAAAAAAGAAAACAAAAACAAATAGTCAAGGTAAGAATTCACATATATAGTTGATCCCTCTCTCAAGGCAGAAGCACCATGTTTAACCACACAGACAGTGTGCACTCAGTGCACTCAGGGATGTCCAGTACCCAAAGGGAACTTAAAGGACAGACAGGGCAAGGGTGTTTAGAAGGGCTTGTAGGGACAGGAACAGGGGGAATGGCTTCAAACTGAAAGAAAGTAGGTTTAGCTGGATATCAGGAAAAAAAATTCTTCCCCGTGGTGAGGGTGATGAGGCCCAGTTTGCCCAGAAGCAGCTGTGGCTGCCCCATCCCTGGAAGTGTTTCAAGGCCAGGTTGGACGGGGCTTGGAGCAACCTGGTCTAATGGAAGGTGTCCCTGATCTTCCAGGTCTCCTTCCAACCCAAACCACTCTATGATTCTAATGTCGGGGAAGCTGAGGGCCAGGGTTTGGTTCCACGTCTCGATGCGGCGAGCGGGCAGCGGGAGCGCGGCCCGGGGGCAGCGCGAACCCTCCGGCGGCAGAGGCCCCTCGGCCGGGGCAGGGGGAGCGGGGAGGGCGCGGCGGTACCGTGGCTTTGGCTGTGAGGAACAGCGCGTCCTGGTTGATGCTGGACACCTCCGGGGAGCTCTTCATGATGACGCGGATCCGCGACAGGGGCAGCGACACCAGACGGTTCTCGCTCAGCCGCGCCGCCATCTCGGCCCGCCGGGACCTGTAGGCGGGGCTGAGCCGGGACTACAGCTCCCGACAGCTCCCTATGGCACCGACCCCGGGACTACAGCTCCCGACAGCTCTCTACGGCACCGATCCCGGGCTACAGCTCCCGACAGCTCCCTACGGCACCGACCCCGGGACTACAGCTCCCTACGGAACCGACCCCGGGACTACAACTCCCGACAGCGCCGATCCCGGGACTACAGCTCCTGACAGCTCCTTATGGCACCGATCCCGGGACTACAGCTCCTGACAGCTCCCTATGGCACCAATCCCGGGACTACAGCTCCCGACAGCTCCCTAAGGCACCGATCCCGGGACTACAGCTCCCTATGGCACCGATCCCGGGACTACAGCTCCCTGAAACACAGGGACCTTCCTGGGACTACAGCTCCCTGCACCGGGACCGGCCTGATCCCGGGATTACAGCTCCCGACAGAAGGGACTACAGGGACCACCAGCCCCGCCAGCTCCGCCTCCCCGGGGCGGGCGGAACGCGGGTCTCGGGCGCGCTGAGGCTTCGGAGGGTTCTCAGAATTACAGAATTCTTTTGGAAAAGACTGGAATTCTGCTTGGAAAAGACCTCTGAGATCATCGAGTCCAACCTATGACCGAACACCACCATGTCAACTAGACTATGGAACTAAGTGCCACGTCCTGTCTTTCTTAAACACCTCCAGGGACGGTGACTCCACCACCTCCTTGAGCAGCCCATTCCTATATCTAACCACCCTTTCTGTGAAGAAATTCTTCCTAATGTCCAGCCTCCCCTTGCACAACTTGAGGACGCCCTTTCCTCTCACCCTAATACTTGCTAGCTGGGAGAAGAGCCTGACCCCCACCTGGCTACACCCTCCTTTCAGGTAGTTGTGGAGAGCAATAAGGTCCCCCTTGAGCCTCCCTTTCTCCAGGCTAAACATCCCCAGCTCCCTCAGCCGCCCCAGGGCCCCCCTGGATGGGGTCCTGCTGGCCCCCCTTGGGGCTTTCCCTTCCTCACCCCCTTGACATGGCTTCTCAGCCCCAGGAGTGTTGGGAATTCATTTTTAATGGCAACCACGCACCTCCTGCATGTATCCCAATTACAGGCCAGTGGCTCCAAAGCTGTTAATCCAAACTGTAATTACAGGCTGCTCAACGCCTCTGCTGCTGCAGTGCAGTAGCAGGGAATGTGCCTGGTCATCCTGGCACTCCTCGGAGGTTGTGTGGGTGTGTGGAGGGCACATATAAACTATGAAGTGATGATGGGGCTGCATCTTCATTATTAACACGTGCCCCATACTTACCTCGTGTGCCTGCTGTGTAGGCAGGTTGCAACATGCTTTTGCATGGGTTTTGCTATTGGGAGCGTTGGCTCCAGAAGTTCATCTGTGCCTGTTCGGATGAGGCCTGTTGGCTCCCACAGGGAGTGAGTGAGCACTTCCAGGAGTGGTGACGCATAGTTTACATCAATTCATTAATGGCCTCAATAAAAAAATTTCCAATGTGCTTTACAAACAACAAGCCTGATGGTTTGTATTGATCAGAAGTCTGCTTATGCCACTAAATTCTCTCTTAGTATGAGAGGGAAGAGCAGGAGCTTTTCCAGAATACACAATAATAATTCACATAGAATTTAGGGCAAAAAGAGATGTACCCATAAAGAAGCACATTAAATGAAAAATACAGGAAGTTTCTTGACTGAATGTTGCTATCTTACATAGACTTTGCCCAGTACATAAGGACAAGGGTACAGATAATACTGATTTATTAATAAAACGCAGCACCATAAGCAGTTGTAAGCACCTTGGTGCAAGGATAATACAGGATGATACAGTTCCAAAATTACTGTATTTGGGCACATCATTTAAAGTTCGCTATTGCAGATAATCTATATCTCTCAGGCAGTGTAATTCCTTTGAGGTTACACCTTCTGAGAGGCCATTCTGTTGAAGTATGCCTGAAGGGAAGCACAATATTCTAGGATGCTACATGGATATCTGCAAGGCTTAGTTTCTTCCTTGATCTCTAGCGTCTTGTGACATCTTGTGGAAAGAGCTGACATTACTCTGACAGAGAATTTCTTGTAAATACTACTGGGGTCTTTCATGATTTCAATATACATATAAACCCCCATTGAACTACCAAGATTTCTGAGGATATTGAGCTGTTTGGACACAGAATTAGGACTTGCAGGAGCCAGAATCATGATGTGGCTGTATAGCATAAGAGAACACCATGATACTGCAATACTACTGATATTTAATAATTTATCTTTAGCATACTTTGTAATTACAAAATTAATGTCGTACCAGTAATGGGATCCAACTTGTTCCTAATTAAAACAAACAAACCTATAAAGCTAGAATTAATTCTCTTGAATCAGAACTGAATGGGTGTTGTTATTAAGAATTCTTTGTTAAAACGGACTGGGAACACAGGTAAAATAAATATCACCTTGGCTAATTTGCATAAAAACTACTACTTCCTAATGTACTAATTTTACCTGTGTCCTGTGCTATGGGTGGAATACAGCAATGGCAAAGGAAAACTTGCTGCTCCAGTAAACAGTCTTCTCAAATGAGGAAAATTTATTCAGATGTACTAGTGAGGTACCTGAAAGCAGAAAAGGATGGTGAATTACTGAAAAGTACCTCTGTGTCAAGCTTCATTGGATTATATTAAAAGAAAAATAATGATAAACCTGATATAATCAAAATTCTCCATGGATGAGAATCTGGGTAAAGTGTCTGCTGAATTCCCAAAACCTACTGAGAGCAGTAGCTCTATTGGAGTAGCTTTGTCTATTGGAGAAACAGCAAGTTTAGTGAACGGGGTTACATCAGGCTGGTGGTCAGTCCCCAGTGGAGTTCCCAGGGCTCAATTTTAGGCCACTGTGTTGCTGAGTGACATTTTAAAACCAATTCATACACATTTAAGAAGTCAATAATTAGATATTTAATTATTTATGATCTGTAATTAAAAAAAGAAAAAAGAAATTCACTGTTATTGGGTAAAGAACTGTGGATAAGTGCTGGACTAGGAAAAAACCTGCCCATGTCAGCAAACAAGGGAAGGAGCTAAAGCTGGTCTGGCAAAGTATAAGCACAATATGTGGATAAGTAGTTGGCACAGACATAATTAATGTGTTATATTAAAAGAAAGAGGTGTCCAGCAGAAGATGCATAGTGCAAAAAAAGAAATTAACCTCTGTAGCAGCATTCTTTGAAATTGCAGTAGAGTGATCCAAAAGCAGCATTTAGAAACAATGAAAACAGACAAATTCATGACAATGCAGAAGTATTTCTTGCACGATGCAAAAAAACCCAGCTATTCTGAGGGAATCTGATTGATGGGATAAGAAGGTTGTGTCACATGCCAAATATGAGATAAATCTGAGCAGTTGGTAAATTATATGTTAATGCACAAATGCAAACAGAAAGTGGCTGAACTGCCAATGGTTGCTGGAAGATACCTAAGCATGTGGAAGTTGCAGGTAAGGCTCTCACTGTAGGAGTTCCTCCTAGAAAAGCTGGAGCAATGAAGATATTCAAAAGCAAAAATCAGTCAAGAGGAGCCAAGCTTTTAGGCAGACAATACTGTGTGTAATCTTCCATTTCCACTTACGACAGATACACAGTTAGGCAACTTCTGTCCAGAGTTGTTCTACCATTTGGAATTATACAGAACATTCTTCATACCTTCATCTTGGAGGATCTCAGGAGACTGAGTAGCTTAATGGCAGTGAGAAAGTTCTAGAACACAGTGTTTACACAGTCACAATCGAAATTATCTTCTAAAGATGATATTGTCATCACATTTTTGTCTTGTAGAGAAGAAGTGAAACAACAATAAAGCACTGTCAAAAAATGTCACTAAAACCATCTAGCAAGAGGGCAGATTTGTGAATAATTGTGCTGGTTTGGCTAGCATAGAGTTGATTTTCTTCACAGTAGCTGGTATGGGGCTGTGTTTTGGATTTGTGCTGGAAACAGTGTTGATAGCACAGGGATGTTTCCATTGTTGCTGAGCAGTGCACACTGTTACAGATTTACACACACCGGCCACTGTAACAGGGTCCAACTGTAGGATCCTGCTAAGAAAGCAAAGTCTGAGTTCTTAAGTTATAGCTTGATCTGGGTGCCTCCAGAGAGGGACCCCCACCCCTGTTCATGCCTCTCAATTATACCCATAATCACCCATCACGTGATGCCCAAGTCCAATCACTCAATTCTGGTCTGTGGTCTCTTGATGTCTTACTGTTTTGGGCTGGCCGCCTTCTGGAGTGACTTCATTCTCTTGGAATTGTCTCCTTGGTCCTTATCTTCTCCACTCCTCTCACATCTTCTGAATTCAGTGAGCTCTTTGTTAGCAGCATTAGTTTTATCAAAAAGTTTATGCTTGGTCAGCTCCTGTGGCCTAAGGCTTCAGTGACTTCAGCTGCTGCTGCTGAGCCACTAATGCTAAATGAGAGTATTCAGAGGGAAAATCACAGTCAATCAAATTCCTTCTGTAACATTACACAGAGGAAAGGCTTTTTCTGCCTCTGACCTCACCCCACCAGTGAGTGGATTGGGGGTGCACGAGGAGTTGGGAAGGGACAGAGGTGAGACAGCTGATCCCAGCTGGCCCAAGTGATATTCCAGATGATAGGACATCATGCTCAGCATATGAAGTTGGGGAAGAAGAAGGAAGGGAGTGATGGCGTTTGTCTTCACAAGTCACCACAATAATGCTGAGCATTGGCTTTGGCCACGTGAGACCAAATCCTTGAGGTATTTTGGTATCACTGATACCACAACCAAATACAGTGTCAGCATTTGCTGACACTGCATTTGTTACTGATAACAAACAGTATTGTAGAAATAAATGTAGAAATAAATCACTTCCCTGTGAGAAATGCTCCAAGTTACATTCCTGCTAAAATTCTGTGAGAGAAAACTAGTTATGTTCTTTATTTAAAACCATCACTTTCTGTCCCCTCTATCCTAAATTTGGCCAAGTTCAAACACACCCATCTTTCCTCCAGAAGCTTCCTAGACTTGTATTCTTTCTGAATTTCACAGAACTGCTCTATCTGAAAATTGCATCATCTCTATCATCTTTGAGTTCATCTTAAGTCGACTTACAGTAGTTAAAGGTGTAGGTGAGCAGCCCCTGTGCCTGCACGATCAGCAGCTCCAGTACAGGGCACAGAGAGTAGTTCCTGAACTGGGGGAACCTGAGGGGAGAGGGGTGGCCCAAGCCCACCATGTATAAAAGAAACAGTTGCCTCTCTTTGTACTTTGTTCTTTTTCCTGTGTAACTCCATAGACAAGAATGATGATTTTAGCACTGACTTGCATCCTTTGTGTGCTGTGAAGAATAATTGCCTGGTTTTATTCTCTGCATATTCTCCTTTCTGAAACAGCTTCTGCTGTAACATGTCCCCCTTTGAGCCCCACATCTGTGACTTCCAGGTTCCTTCTTTCCTCCCCTGGTGCTCTCTGGCTGTTGGGGGTCACAGGAATTATTTACTGAGTTCAGAGACTTCTGTGCACAGACACACGGGGGCTGTTAATGAACTTTCCCTGGCTGCAGAAATGAACCAGGAGCACCAACCTGCCACCTGCCTGTCGCTGCCTTCATTGATTTTCATTCCTGACAGAATTTTTAAACCTGGTTTTGCCTTCTCAGCTGGTTCATGGGTGCTCACTGACCACCTCAACTTTGCTCCAGCATTCCAGCTGTGTGGATGACCCTGCAGGCACAGCTCTGTGGGGCTCTGTTCAGTTTTCAGTGGAGTTTTGGGTACTTTGCATGGGCCCCTTAGTAGTGGCTCCTCTTTGCCACGCTGCCACCTGAGAGCTTGCCAGGTATAGTTGCCTGTGCACAGCCTGCACTGATCCTGCTGCCTGATCCTGGCTCCTGCTGGGTGTACTTGTCTCTTGACCAGACTGACCCCCTGTGTCCTGCCAGGGGCTTCTCTTTTCTCTTGCTCAGAGAGATTTTGGCTCCTTTCTGCCTCTGATGTCCTCCCAAGCAGCAAATGACCCTGGCAGAAGAAGGGATGCCGTGAGTGGCCAGGCTGAACACACCCCATCCTTCTCTGGCCATGCTGCTGGTGGGCTTGGTCAGCCTCCACCTGAGCCTCCAGGTCCTCCAAGTCCAGCTTGTGCTGCCATCCCCTTCTCCTCTTTCTCTAGGAAGTGTTACTCATTTCTTGGAAGCCAGCTGAAGTTCAAGGCTAACGCTTGTTCAGCTCCTTCTTGCTGTTGGTTTTCCCCTGGTCTCCCAAAATGGGGTAACTTGAGGGGAGTGGAGAGGCCTGCCAGGAGCCCACAGCTCATGCCACAGTAGCTGAGGAGACCTGAAAGGAGGTTGTGGCCAGGTGGCAGTCGATCTCTTCCCCCAAGTAACAAGCAATAAGACAAGATGAAATGGCCTCAGGTGGTCACAGGAGAAGTTTAGACTGGGTATTATGAAAAATTTCTTCACCAAAGGTTGGTCAAGTATTGGAACAGGCTGCCCAGGGCAGTGGTGGAGTCACCATCCCTGAAGATATTAAAAAGACATATAGATGTGGCACCTGGGGACGTGGTTTGGTGGTGGACTTGGCTGTCCACTAGAAACACACCTGAGCTCTCACACGAGGCTCATACCTCCAGAGTCCTCAGGATTTTTCCCCTTAAGCTACATGACTCTGAGAAGTCCTCTCAGAGGAGGACCCTTCCTGTTCTCAGGGAGGCTCAGGGGGATCTCATTCTCTACAACTACCTTAAAGAAGGTTATAGTGAGGTAGGGGCTGGTGCCTTCTGCCGTGACAGGACAAAAGGATATAGCCTTAAGGTGAGACAAGAGAGATTGGGATTAGATAATAGAAATTTTTTTTTTCACTGTTAGTGTGGTCAGGCATTGGAATAGGTTGCCCAGGGAGGTGGCGGAGTTACCATCCCTGGACGCGCTTAAAAGGCGTCTGGATCTAGTGCTGTGTGATGGTTTTAGTGGTTTAGGGGTTACAGTGGCAGTGCTGGGTTGACAGATGATCTTAAAGGTCTCTTTCAACCTTGATGACTTTACGATTCTGTGACACCAGACCAATTTCGGGATTTGGGAATGCCAGGAAGGCTCACTTTCGGCCACTACTGCCAAAGCCCCTGAAGTTTTCATGGAGAGCCGGCTGAGATCCACCATCCAGGTGAATCAATCATTCGTTCACTCCTTTTAACGCATTCCTCTTGGAGGAACGCCTGATGCTCGCAGGCACAAGCGGATTCCCCGTGGAAGCGCCGGGAGATGAACCGCGGGCGGCGGCAGCAGCGGGCGAGATCCACTCTCCCCTCACGGCTCTCCCGCCATCGCCCCGCGCATGCGGGGCGGGAGCGGCCATTGCCGTCAGTTCCGGCGGCTGCGGGAGTGGGGCGGCTCCTGCCCTGGCTGTGAGTGCCCCTTTTCGGCTGTGAGAGCCCCTGTCCCGGCTGTGAGATCCCCTTCCCAGCTGTGAGTGCCCCTTTCCCAGCTGTGAGTGCCCCTTTCCCAGCTGTGAGTGCCCCTTTCCCGGCTGTGAGTGCCCCTGTCCCGGCTGTGAGAGCCCCTGTCCCGGCTGTGAGAGCCCCTGCCCCGTCTGTGAGAGCTCCTTCCTGGCTGTGAGTGCCCCTGTCCCGGCTGTGAGTGCCCCTGTGCTGGCTGTGAGTGCCCCTGTGCTGGCTGTGAGTGCCCCTGTCCCGGCTGTGAGTGCCCCTGCCCCGGCTGTGAGAGCTCCTTCCTGGCTGTGAGAGCCCCTGCCCCGGCTGTGAGAGCTCCTTCCTGGCTGTGTGTGCCCCTGTCCCGGCTGTGAGTGCCCCTGTCCCGGCTGTGAGTGCCCCTGTCCCGGCTGTGAGCGCCCCTGTCCCGGCTGTAAGTGCCCCTGTCCCGGCTGAGTGCCCCTTCCCCGGCTGTGACTGCCCCTGCCTCGGCTATGAGTGCCCCTTCCCGGCTGTGAGAGCCCCTTCCCGGCTGTGAGAGCCCTTTCCCGGTCACCACCGACAGCCGCGTTCCCCCGTCCCAGAGCAGCTCCCTTGCTCCTCTCGCTGCCCCTCAGCCCCTTCCCGGCGGGGCTGCGCTTGGCTCTTCTGCGGTTCATTTATTTTCCCTGCTGAACTTCGCCGGCCCAGCGCGGGATCTGCCCCGGGGAGAGGGAAAGGGGGGAGCTCCCACCTTCCCTCAGTGTCCGCCCGGTTGGGAACCGTGTGGACGGGGCTGTTCCCTGGTAACAGGTTTGCTCCCCTGGGAAGGAGGCTGCTGGGCAGACCCCGGGCACTACGGTGGGAGAGGGATAGTGACAGTCCAAAGCCGGGCTGTGTTGTTGTTGTTTTTTTTTGTTGTTGTTTTTTTTTCTGTTTGTTTTTGTGGAGGTTTCGTTGCTTTTTCTGTGTTTTTGGTCCCGTGTACGTTTTAGAGGATGCTTTGGAGGTGAAGTTGACCACAGGGATCTGTGCGGTCCAGGAGGTCTCAGAGATGTGAGGGCTCAGCGATGCATGTCTTCGTTTAAGACCCAGCTGCAGTCAGAGAGCTCAGGGGAGAAGGAATTCTAAATACTTAAATATAGAAGTAGAAAACATTGCCTGGTCCTTCCCTTCATGTGTTTTGAGAAAGCAGACTTCACTTTTTCTCAAAAATAAGTGTTCTGGTCCTGATTTTCCTCTCCCTGGCCGTGTGCAAGCACTGACAGCCGTGTAAAGTTGGGTCATTCCTGTTTGGTGTCTGTTTACATCTCACCCCACACAATTTTCCATATTTCCCCAAAGAAATGGGACTGGAGAGCCTGAGTCTGACAGGATCCTCTGAGGTGGTGGTTCTGCTCTCTGCTTGTGGTGGAGACTCTGCTGCCCTGTGTGTGAGCTGTCTTGTGTAGCTGCACAGGGAGCAAGATTGAGTCAGAAAAACGTAATTTACAGATTTTTGTTGGCTGCATGGTTGAAGATTTAGTAAAGTGATGGCGCAAATATTAGTGTTGTAGCACATATATTCAGGATGCAGAAATGTTTAGCATCAAAGTCCTGGTTCGCTTCAGCAGCCCCGTGTACTCTGAATGTTAAAAAATAATATACGTTTTTCTTTTACTGGCCTGCAGTTGGTGCAAAATGAGTGTTCCTGACTACATGCAGTGTGCTGAGGATCATCAGACCCTCCTGGTCGTGGTTCAGCCCATTGGCATTGTCCCTGAGGAGAGCTTTTTCAGGATCTACAAGCGGATTTCAGCTGTGAGCCAAGTCAACGTGCGCGACTCGCAGCGCGTGCTGTACATCCGCTACAGGCACCACTATCCCCCGGAGAACAACGAGTGGGGGGATTTCCAGACACACCGCAAAGTCGTGGGGCTGATCACTATTACAGACTGCTCTTCTGCCAAGGAATGGCCTCAGACTTTTGAAAAATTCCATCTTCACAAGGAAATGTATGGTTCTACCCTCTATGATTCCCGGCTCTTTGTCTTTGGGCTTCAAGGAGAGATTGCGGAGCAGCCCCGCACGGATGTGGCGTTTTATCCCAGTTATGATGAATGTGAGACTGTGGAGAAGAGAATTGAAGATTTTATTGAGTCCCTCTTCATAGTGTTGGAGTCGAAGCGGCTTGACAGAGCCACTGATAAGTCTGGAGACAAGATCCCGCTCCTCTGTGTTCCTTTTGAGAAGAAGGATTTTGTAGGTCTGGACACTGATAGTAGGTAAGCAGCTACTTTTGTCAGCTTGCAGGTCTTTGAAAAAAACCACCTGTGGCACTTGCCAGCCTTCAGGATAAGCCTCTTAGAAAGGACAGAGTGCACCTTGTTACAACAGAGGTTGTGCCCAGATCTTACTGTGTCTGTCTGCTGTAGTTTAAGAGAATTTAATTTGTGGTCTCACCATATAGGATGTTCTGAGCTTGTTTTATATATATATTTAATTCATGAGGCTAATCAAATAGTAGGAAGAAGTCACAGGAACAGGTTGACAGATTCTGCTCTAATGAGACCTTTTGGTGGAAAGGAATCATTAATAGATATACAGTATTAATAAAAAAACTCATCAATGAAAATAATTTTTTATTATGTTGGGTAGTATTTTACTAATCCTACTTATTGTATTTTTTTCCCCTAAGCCTCTGTCTACTTTTTCGTCCTATGAAACAGTGGCTGTTTATTCCGGTGACTAAATCCAGCATCTTTCCCTGTCTTTCTTTTTTATTTATTGAATTATTTGTTATTCTTGACCTGTCTTGTTTTGCTACTTGTTTGCTACAACTTTCTCTTTGGTTTTGTGTATGTTAAGAGTTTTGTTTTGTTCCCCCCCCAACATCTTTCCTTCCTCATTTGCATTCTCAGATTTTAGTGTTAAAATGTTCTTGTGCAAGGGATTAGTAATTCTGGTTAACCAGCTACAGGCAGTGCAAAATCTGTTTGATTCGCCTGTTTGCAGTCAAATGCAAAGGATGGAAGCAGCAACCACATTTGTCCTGGCAAGGACAGAGGTGTGGAATCCCTATCAAAATACAAAGTGTGTATGGGAATAGTATTGTTCATCTCTGTCTTGTACTACGAGGGATGCCAGCAGTGGTTGTTACTGTGTGTAGAAAGCAGGGTTTTCCAGAGCTGTCCAGGTTTGTGAAGGCTTTGGATCACATTAATCAGCTCTGCCTACATAGTTAGTCCTGGCCTTGGAAACTGGAAGAAAGCATTTCAAGTTTCTAATTAGTTTGAAGCCCTCTGTTATATTATCTCTGGTTGCCTGAAGTACCTCTGTGACCTGCTCCTGCTCCTCTTGGTGAGAAGTTGAGCTGGGTCTGACCTGCTACCCAGTATTATCCCTTGGATTGTCCATGCACCATTCAGTTTTCATTATCAGTATAAATTATTATGTTACTGGTTTTTGTATGTGGGTGATAAAGTTTTGTAGAGTAGTCAAGCCCTTTTAGAATCTTGACTTTAATTACTCAGTTTGAATGAATTTTTGTTGAATGTAATCAAAATTTCCTGTTCCAGTTAGCTGAGAAAATGACATTTTTTTGGCCAAGAATCTCCAAATCGAAATGAATTATGCTGTTCAGTTGTGTCTTTAAGTACTGTATTTTGGAAATCAGTTTCTTAGATAAGTGGCTTATTTCTGAGCAGTGGCTGTGCTGTAGCTTGTGGGTAAACTTTTCCTGTGAAGTTCTGAACTGGTGAGGAGCTCGAGTGACAGCAGTGTGTGTATCCACATATATCCAAGGAGATATTTTATGCTGTTGCACTGAGTTCAAACAGATGCAGTGTGATGCTTCAGTTCTTTGCAGACTGGAAGATGTGTGACCCTGGCTGTGTAAACATATGGGTTTATCCAGAGTTAATCACTGGTTCAGCTCTGCACACACCCTCGCTGGGAGATTTGAATACCAAACAGTTTTTCAGTAACTCTGGATCAATGGATACACTTGAAATGTTTGCTGCACTGCCCAAAGAAAGGGTGTTAAATGTTCTAATCGTTCAGTTCAATAGTAAGAAAGTTCTTCAGCTTTATTGTGCTGTGGAGTTAGTACTTCTGATTGTTTGACAATTTAGGATTTATACATGAATAACATGGGCAAGCTAAATGAAAATGTATTTATAGCTTCTCTGCACAGGAACCTTTGTAGGCACCTTCATGTAACCTGCTGCATCTCTGCCTCTGTGTTCTAAAGCAGAAACTCAGGTCCCTGGAATAGGGTTGAACTAACATCAGTTTATTGAACTAACATCAGTTTATTAAACTAACTTAGATTTTCAAGCATTAGTCTTTGGATATGAACTGGTGGTATATACCATTTTACTACTTGAGGGTTTTTTGTTGCTTGCATTTTGTTCCTTGGGTTGCAATAACAGGGTTTTGTTGTAGCGTGTTCCCTTCTGCAGTGACATATTCCCTAATTTAGGGAGAGCACTGCATTAGTCACACCAGGGAGATGCAGGGCTGGGAAGGACCTTGTCAATGGAGACTAGTTTCTGTTTTTGCAAGATATGATGTATAATTCTGTTCAGGGAGGGCTAAAGGTTGTCTGAATGCCAGAAGTGGGTATGAGAACATCTCATAGAAGAACTTTTGCCACTTTGTTGGTTTTGAGTCTGTCAGTGTAATGAGTTAAAGGAATGAATTAAAAAAAGGATATTATTGAGATATTGAGATGAATGAAACAGCTTTTTCTAGAATAGGTGAAAAATTCTAAAGGGTTAAAGGCAAAGGATGCCCCCTTGATCTTATTTATATACCTTCTGTCCATTTTAATTTTTTTAAAATATCCTGACCTCTCAGTCAGTGTGCAACCAATTAGTTAAAAAGCACAAATTTCTATATGAAATAGATGGAAGAGAAGGCACTGTCTGTGCTTAGATAGGAGAGTATATGTCTCTCTTGCTGTAGTTGTAGATATCTACTTAGGCTAAATAAGCCCAAGTAGTAGTAGTATCTTTTCCTGTAATTTCTAAAAGTGAAGTTAAATTTCAGTGTGTATCAAAGTCTTAATAAATGTGGAGTGAAGCTGTTACCGGGAGCTGTTGCACTGGGTTGGTACATCAGGTGAAAATATGTTAAGAAGTTACATGGGACATAGTAATTCTGATCATGTGAGTTACAGACTAATTAAAACTTCCAAACTTTGTTGAAACTTTTCTCCATAAAATATTGAGGTTAATACTTATATGATGATCAGGACTATGTGTATAGACCTGATCTCTCTCACCCAGTTAGTGAGGCTTTCACTACCTTGGTTACATAATAATTGCAGCAGGAGTGGCTTCTTTTAAGATGCAAAGTTCATGAATCAGGAAGATGGATGGATTATTATTCTGCATTTCTCATAAAATGACTCTTAAAAAAGTGAGGATGATCTTTGTCTTTTGCAAGTTGCTTGTTTAAGGAGCAGAAGAGACCCATTCCCAGAACTGGTACTGAGATGACAGTTTACACAAACTCACTGTATTATGTGTGTAGAAGAATTTTTTTGGGTGACAGGAAACTTCATATATGAAAAATAGTGGCATTAAGTCTTAAAAACTTAGGAAGAAAGATTGCTCTGTTAAACAGAAGTTGTAGGACAGGGAGTCTGATCTTGATTTAATTCCTAGAGCACAACCAAGAGGTGATCTTGGCAAATCTGTTGATTTTTCTCTGTTTATCAGCTGTAAAATATGGGTAAAATATCACAGGGATGCTGAGAGAATTGGAAAAGTTTTTGAAATTAGTTGCACTTGATAGTTATTTTTAGAGGCCAGGAAACTGATGGAAAAGTCTAGAAATGCATGTTCTCATGATGACACAAAGGTCCTACAAACTGGAAACTAGAAAACATACTTACCAGAGATACCATTTTTTAAGCTTTCTGTTTTATTTCTGTTTTCAGCTAAAAAATTAAACATACTTGTGTATGATTATGAATCTACTTGGTTAAGCTCATTTTAAAGCCGTTACATCAGTTTGTGTCTTAGGTTGTCTCTGTTTTAATACTGGGATCCATTTAATGAGGCACCACTCGGTCCTGTGGAGTGGAGAGACCATAGGGCTGTTTATAGATTCTCTACACAGTGTCGTAGAGGCTTTGTTCACTGATTTATCAGAGTTGATGATCTCAGTATGTGTATGTGGCTGTTAATTTTCCTTCTGTTCTCTGTCTTTCTAATTTTTGTTTTGTTCCTTTCTTTTTTTTTCCTTCCCCTCTTCTCTCATACTGCCCTGTGAGTTTGTTGTTGGGTCTAAAAAGGTAGGCTGTGATTGTGTATATTTGAAAATAGTTAGCTTTCTTCCATGTCCTGCCTCCTCACTCCACCTTCATTGCATACTTTAGTGTTGCTTTTTGTATTTATTTTTCAGTACACACAAAAATAATTGCTGCTGGAGCCTCACTACTGCAGTTGCCCCCTTTTGGCGCATTTGGCAATTATATTTGGTACCAATGCTGAATTTTTTTGTAGGACACCCATAGTTTGCTTAGGCGGCTGCTGGCCTCTGGAATTTGCTTTCTTTTTTAAACTCCAAAGCCATGAAGCTCTTGCTGCCTGTGTTTGGTTTCCAAATCCAAAAGTTCTGGCAGTCGATCCAATGCCGTAGCTGTGTCTTTCAAGTCTGGATAATGTTATGATTGGTGATTCCTAGAGCTCTGCATGCTAATTGGAATTAGTAGACCTTGATGGAAGTTTTTGTTGAAGCATTTTGCATGAGAATACTTTCGAAAATTCATTTTGCATGTTTCTTGTTTGTAAGTTGAGCCAAATTTTGGGGGTCCAGAAAGTCTTTCAAACCTGTTGCTGGCTGTAAATAAATTCTGCCTTGAAATATAGTATTGTTGCTCTGAATTTTCCTTAGCATTATCCTGGGATCCTGGAAAAGAGCTGGGGATGGAGGATTAAAGCACATTTCCTCTATAGCAAATGAGGCAGAAATGGAGATGGGATGGGGTTGTGCTTTGTGGTTCCTGGAGCAGGTTTGTTGTCCTCCAGTTTGAAGTAGCAGCAGTGGTCACTTGGTGATGATTGTGGTTATTATTCTGAATATAAAGAGTGTGTTTGGTACCAAATTAACACATCTAAAATTGGAGAATAAGATTATAAACTAGTTATGTAGTCAACTGTATGTTTTCATGGGGTGAGGAACTTCTGAAGAGGAGTTTGGATGGCTGAGACTATGGAGTGTGCCATGGGTGATCCTGCATTATGTGGCACTGCCTTCCTTGGGGATATTTCTGAGTGCATCACACTCAGGAAGGGGTTTGTGGTCTTTGAAATGTAATGTATAAAATGAACTTCTGCAGGAAAAATAAATAGAAACAGCTTTAGTAGGGCATGACAGGGAACTGGCCTAGAAAAAGGTTGCCATTTTATCCTAGAGGAAGTAGCTGTTAATTTACATGGACTTCCTGTCCTCAAGCAGATTAGGATTGAACAGTAGAGAACCAAAATATTTAAACAGTGTTTTAATAAAAAATAGAAGATAACTGTAAGCTTCTCACTCAGCTTTGTGACCAGGTTCTTCAGGTAAAGCTGTGAAGCAAAACTAGCTAGGTATTAAAATGGATAATCATCATTTTACGCTGATGTATTTATGCATGTCTGATTTTTTCCCATTAAATTTGCACCCCAGTATGCACTGAAGAAACAATGAGTCACTTGGACAGGCTTTTAAGGACCCAATGTTGTAGATACTGGAATTTTTAAAAAAGAGGCTTCCCAAATATGAAGTAAATTAAGTTTTGCTGTCTGTGCAGAGTGGGTTTGATTTCAATTAAATCTTTGCCATTTGTCTTTTTGGACATACTGGAAGTAGTTGAATTTATTATACTTAATTGTGAGTGACTAGTTAAGACACAGTTTATACATTTGTTTGGTGCAAACTTCCTCTATAATTAGTGAGAAAATACTTTCCAGGAGGATGGCAAAAGACTTGCAGGGATTGTAGGAGGTAGATCCTGTCTTGGCACCACCTTGAAGAGCCTAAAAATAGCTGGAGTGAATTCAGTCTTTGAATAATTAATAGTAAATTTCTTCATCACCAGGAATAAATTATCCGTTTACCTCTAAATAAAGAGAGTTTCTGAAAGAACAGTGTTGTGTATGAGCAATGTTTATTGATGTCTAGGTGATTAAAAACCTTCTAACTTTGCATATATTGACATCTGCATAAATCAGCAGCAGAATGAGGTTGGGAAGAGCTGTTGGTGAAGCAGTGGGATCGAAATGATTCCGGTATTGGGTTCTGATTTAGGAGTCAGACATCATCTCTTTCCCTTTGCTGTGTGACTCATGTTTATGAACTTAATCATATGCAATCTGGAAAATCTGGAAAAACACTTACAAACTACAGATTTGGGAGAATAAGAAATTTAATTTGTCCATAAACACACAGATTACTTGAAAGTGTAGAGACAGTCAACAGTGTAGTGTCAACATCTTTAAAAGGAATTATAGCTGTGTAAGGAAACAATGATTCTCCAATTCCACTGTCTATGTAAAAAAAGAGTTAAAAGCAATATATAACACTTGCAATCTTATTTTCATTCTGCAATGCAGAGATTAGGAAAACCTCATTTGTAAACAATTTATACTTTCCTGTACAATACTGGTTCAATATTACAAAGTAACTTTTTGAGGGAAGCATTTCTCTATAACCTGAAGCTCAGACTGAAATCCTAGTAAGATTTGGTGCCCTTCCATAGTTCATGCAGGGAGCTTTAGTCTTCACTTTAAATTTTCTTTACTTTTTTCCTTAAAAAGTTCTATAAAGTACATTCTTGTTGAAAAGTAAAGGATAAATATTGCAGTTTCTTGACACATCTGAAAGATAACTAGAGTGGTATTGAGCTTCATTTAATGTCAACATCTTCACATCAATTGTGAATATGATGTGATAGATCAGAAAAGTGGGAACAGTTATATGGGAGGTATCTGTAACTTTTTAGATGGAGAGAAGCAATAGGAGACATAGTTCTTGTCTCTTTTTGTAATTTCCAGATTTTCTTGTAAACAATAACGCTGGTTCTGAGTGCTTTTCTATTTAATTTTTATAAGGACATTGTATGTGCTCCTGTATATCTTCTCTTTTCAAATTTCTGTCCTCCATCCATATAAATCAGTTACTTTTCCTTTATCTCCTTGAAGAACTATTTTTTTTTTCAAACCAGCTGCAAAGAATAGGACATTATTTGGTGGCTGAAGAGATGCTTCTCTTTGGTGTAAACAACCCAAACCAAAGAGCTTTGAAAGCAAATAAACTAATAACATATAGTTGTTTTTATTATTACCATTTCTCGTAGCCTTAAAATCTAAAGGAGATAAATTAATATCCTTATTTCTGCCATTATATTTCATATGCTCAGTTCCCCTTATACTTTTTTTATTTCTACATTACAGAAATCACAAAGATGTTCTCTTCAGATGTGTTATGGAGATAATTTCAGATTATTTCAAGTCTTCTGGGAAGTTCTTTGCTGCAAAAAAACCCCAAAAAACAACATTACCCCAAACCTAATATCATTCCATAATCGTGACATTTCCTCTTGTATTTGAAGTCTCACTCCAGGGTATAAGAATTCAGCACCTGGAGAGTGGATGTTACCCCAGGGGTTTTTTGGGTTTCTCTTTTGTGTATAGTTGTTGAGTTCAAACATGCTGGGTAACCTTTTGGAAGATCACAAAATGATTTGGGTTGGAAGGGACCTTAAAGATCATCTCATTCCAACCCCCCTGCCATGGGCAGGGACACCTTCCACTAGAACAGGCTGCTCAGAGTCCCATCCAACCTGGCCTTGAACACTTCCAGGGATGGGGCATCCACAGCTTTTCTGGGCAACCTGTTCAACAACTATTCTGATGAACTTAATTGAAGAAGTATCGCTGCATCTGCTAAAAGTGTAGAACTATGACAGTCAATCCAAGATGGTTTTTATATTTTTAGAACCCCTTTTTAACCAGATTCTTTGGAGATACTTCAGGTATACAAAAAAAGAATGACATCTACAGCAATTCTTCTAATTAAATTTCATTTTAGGGTAGCTTTTATTTTAGTTTAAACCACTCAAAGAAATAAGATTTTATTTTTCCTTGTGTGATGTTTGGACAATGAACTTTCATGCCTCTCTCTATTCATGTACTTAGACATTGATAGAACAAAAGGATTGGAGTAATGTAGGTAGATGAATAAAATATTTAAGCTGATTTTTAATTTTGCCCTAAGAAAAGTTATGTAAGGTAGAGCAAGGACATTGTTATCAGGGTATATTTTTGCAGGAGAGAGAACAGGAGGATTGCTGATGGAGTTGTTCTGAACTGTCACTTAAATCATGAGGTGCTTTCCAAGTCCAGTGTGTCTTACTTTGCATCTGTTAAGTTTCTTTAGCTGGTAGTTACTTAAAAAAAATTGAATAATAAGGTTAGTGCCTTTATCACATGGGTTTGTGCCCAACTTGCCTTTTCAGTTGTACCAAGGTGTCTGTTTATTATTTTCAGTAGGACTTCATTGGCCTTGGCTGTTCATTTTGAGAGAACTTCACCATTTATTTTAATATGTTAAAAAAGAGCAGCGAGAGAAACCCAGTCAACTGTTGCTGAAGTGATTGTGGTGTTCCATGAATCATCCCTTTAGGAGAAGGTACTGAGAGCAGGGGAGGTTTGTGAGCCCTGAGCAGGTTCTGGGCCACCAGCACCTCCGGGCTGTGTGTGGAGAGGGCCCAGGCAGCCAGTCCCATCAGAGGAGAGCTGAAGGAAGAGTCATCTTAAATATCCTCAGAGCCCAAATGTGACAGATTCCATGGGAAACATCCAAGGAGTTATTCAAGAACAACTTCCTGGAAGCACAAGAAAATCCATTCCCTAGTGAAAGAAAGCAAAAAGGCAGAACAAAGACCACCAATGAGCTTTTGGGTGTACTTAAAAGGAAAAAAGCAGCAATCAGGCAGCCAAATACTCATTGTGGTTTACAAGAACCTGCTTTGGAGGTTTTTGGGGTGCGTGGCTCTAACTGCAGAAGTGCTGGGTAGCCAAATTGCACAATACCTTGCTTTTTTCCCAATGCAGCCTCAAATTGTTGGTAATTTTCCATATTATGCTGCTTAGAACTCATACTGGATATTTGCTCAGAGTAAATAAATGTTGATCTATGTTAAGGAGGAAAGAAAATGGACTTTAGGTTTTTCTTGCCTCCAGTAGGTGTTTCCTGCAGGTGACTGAGCTGTCCCTTTTCTTTGCAGGCACTATAAGAAGCGCTGCCAAGGCCGGATGCGGAAACATGTGGGTGACCTGTGTTTACAGGCTGGGATGTTACAGGATTCCCTGGTCCATTATCACATGGCAGTGGAACTGCTGCGCTCCGTGAACGACTTCCTGTGGCTTGGAGGTAGGATTAGTTGGTGGTAGTGAATCAATAATCAGTAATTGGTTGCTAAACCCAAAGTAGATCAAACTCTTTTCTGTAGTTTCCTTAAGTGTAGTGAAAAATGGGAATGATTCTGGTGAGCAGAATCTGAATATCAGGTGTGACTGAGAATTAAAGTGAAAAAAAAAATTGGTTAATAAGACCTGAGAAAGAAATGTGTTTGAGGAAACCTGCAACATAAAATGTGTTACTGTAGTAAAGCATGTACTTGAAAAAAATTGTATGTCTGACTTTTAATGATTCTTTTGAAAGTATTTGGGTTTTTTTCAGGGTGTACCCACTCCTGTGGACTGTAAGGAAAAGATTTTTGTCTTTACATCTACCAAAACCACAAGTGTTTAATTTCCACTGGCGTAACTTCCTTTCACATTAGGTCCTAGGATTCGCTTTTTTGCTCTGCCTTTCCTCTATTTCTTTTATTTCTTTCTTTCATTCCTACTTTTTATTATTTATTGGATATACAAATGATCTTTGAACACAATTTCTGCTTCTCAGTTTTATACCCTTTCAGGACAATTGCTGTCTCCTGTTCTGCTTTTAGCTTTCTCATTCTACTTGAAAATCCATTTATCTTCCCAGTGGCTCTGTGGGTTACATATTATGAAAACCTTAACACCTTTTGACCTTCCACTTCTTTCCTTCTGTGCTTCTATACTTCCACTGGACTTGCTTTGGGATGAGTTTCCTGTCAGCCCAGATCTCCAGCCTGGCAAGTTCTCTTTGCATTGGAGACCTGCCCTACTGTTTCCCCCAGTTTGGTATCACCCAGGGAATTTCTGGGAGTGCTCTGTGCCATCATCCAGGCAGTTAATGAAGACATGAGTATTGTCCCCCTGAGGGACACCACTAGTCATGGGCAGCCACTTGGCCTTTGTAGTGATCACAGTCCTTTGATCCTGGCTGTCCAGCCCATTTTCCACCTACTTTATAGGCCAGCTATCCAAATCTTACCAATTTGGCTATAAGAATTCTATGGGAGGCCGTGTCCAAAGATCCTTTGAAAGGCAAAATATACAACATCCACTGCTTTCCTTTGTCCACTGAGCAAATCATCTCATCCTAGGAGGCAGTGAGGTTGCCAAGGGCTTATTTTTCTTCATAAATCAGTGTGTGCTGTTCCCAGACACCTTCTTTCACTTCATGTACTTCCAGAAGGATTTCTGTGTAGCCTTTCAAGGGATTTGATGTTGATCTGCCTGTGCTGGTACTTCCTTCTTGAAGAAGATGGTATTTCCCTTTTCCCAGCCATTAGAAACCTCTCCCACTTGGCATGACCTGTTGGAGGTGATAACCTTGGCTAGCTCTGTTGGCATCAATGGATGCATCTTACCTGGTTTTGTGGATTTACATCCAATTGGATTAAGTGCTTTTAATGCCCATCTTCCTCTACTGTGACAAGTTCTTACTCCTACAGATCCTTCTAGTAGGACTGGGCACCTGGGAGGTCTGAAGGCGAACACGGAGGTGAAAAGGACATCGAGTATCTCAGGCTTTTCCATAGCCTTTGTCACTAGGTGTCCAATTTGAGCATATTTTATTTGTGTAAATAGACTTTACTACCTGATACTTCGCTTCCTGCAAGTATCCCTACTAATCTGTTGGCTTTTCCCTTCTCTCTCCAGCTGCTCTCGAGGGTTTGTGCTCAGCATCCGTCATCTATCACTACCCAGGTGGTACCGGGGGCAAAGTTGGATCTCGCAGGGCACAAGGAGGTTCCCTCTCTGCTGAGGCAGGAAACAGGCACAGGCCAGGTAAGGGTGGGATTTTGGTTTTATTCCATTTGCCACCACTGAACACCTGAAAACTTCCTCCCTGGTCCCTAACTCTGTAAAATCCCACCAATGACAGGATAAACTGGAGGAGGGGGTGGGAGGGGAGAATGGTATTTCTTTTTAAGATTTTTACATTAATGGCTTTTTTACTCTTTTGGTGTTAGTGTCAACACGTGCTTTGCATAGAGTTGCAAAGCTTTTGGTTTCTTCACCTGACTGTTAGTAGTGTCTGTTAGTTTGAATTTTGCTGGAGGAGATGCAGACAGTTTTCATCAAGATGATGTGGCAGAGCTGCATGTATTAAGAATAATTTAGGTACATTTATTCAGAATTTGTTCTGCTACTCGAAAGTCAAAGTTTAATAAATAGATTTGGTTAACTAAATACCAATAAACCAATATAATTTTTAAAATTTAGTATGCTTTTCCTGAACTCTTGAATTGCAAAAGAGGTGGCTGACGAGAAATGCAAGAGTGCTTTGTAATACAGTGAACCCCTCTATTTCTCCCTGTTTGTTCCGTAAACTTCCTTGCTCCCTCCTTTTCCTTATCTTTGGTTACACCCCATAAGAAGTCTTGTACAGTCCCAAGATGTTCTTTCCCTACAACAAGCCCCATTTCCCTGTAGGCAGTGACCCCCCCAGTCTGTCTGGAAGGGGATGCAGAGAGTGTTGGTGTAACTGAGCTTGATGGGCTTCATCTCTGGACATCTCTGTGACTCTGATTTGGTTCTTGGTCGCTGATCCTCTCTGCTCTTTTGTGCTTGTGCAGATGACCACATAACCTGACACTTCTCTCATGGAGTGAGGGCTCCTGAAAGTTTCTATGGCTTCCAAGAGAGCCTGATTGGGGTAGGGAAATTAAAATACAGTGATTATTGTAAACTACATGGGCCTTTGGACTAAGCCAGCACAGCTGCTTCTATGTATACACTCACCCAGTACTGAAACAAAGTTGGGCTTAAGTGCTGATGTTAAGTTCTCTTATGTGCAGTGTGACCAACATTAATTCCTTCATCTCAAAGAAGTAACCACCCATCTTTATTCTTCTAAAACTCACAATCTAGTAAACACTTGCTTTGTATTATCTTTATTACAAACTGTGTTTGTTGACACCAGATAATTGTGATAGTAAAATGACTTTATTTCAGGACAGAATACTAATTTTTTATATAATATCTAGTCATTAAAATCTGTGCATTTGGTCCCATGACCTGTGAGTGCATTTCATTTGGTCCCATGACCTATGAGTGCATTCTGTGTTGACTGTTAAATTATAATTACACACAGTTATTGACCTTTGTGAACTTTTCAGTGAGTATTTAACAGGAGGTGTTGCAATCTGTTTGTTTGTAATGGATACTCCTTTTTACCAAAGAAGGTAACATATAAGTCACAGATATCAGAATAGTTAAATAGAGTATGTATTTTGGGTATATTAATGCTGCTTCTCTCTATCAGTTTGCAAATTCAAAAAGTGCTGTTTGCAAACTTGTCAGTGTAGTTTCAGTTTCACATGATAAGATTTTTTAAAGGACTTTTGTGGGAAGAACAACTAATTGCAATTTTTTTGTCATCCCTTCCAGATAAAATGTTATTCCCTGGCCCATGATATTGTTCCCTAACTCTGTATGTGGTCTCTATGTTTTGAGGTCTGAACTGCTGAGCTAAATCTGCCCAAACAGCTGTTACTGTGATGTCTTTTCTTACAAAGCTTACTGAAAGTTTCTTTTCATTACCTTTCCTTGACTCTACAGTGCCTTTCATTTAAAATCTTTCCAAACTGCACCTTTGTTTTTAATTTATTTTGTTACAATTAATTTTGTGAGGACAGTGTTTAATCTGGGGAACAAATTCCAGTGTATCTTTCTGTAGGATAAGTCCAGAAATAAAAGGGGTTTCCAAATTCTGTGCAAATCAAGAAATGCCACACTTGGAACTGGCATTCATGGCTATTTCTGAGGCATGTAGATGTGAGTGTTACCTTTATTGCTTCCTGCTGTGCCTGGAATTGCACTCCTCCTTTTCCTGTAGTTCAGCCTTCACAAGATCAGGTTTTTGGTACTGCCTTTGTGCCCAGACCTGGCCAAGAGAAACATCTTTGTCTTGAATGACCTGTTATTTCCACCACTTGGCATCTTCAGGCTATAGCATAGGACCAGGCTGTTCAGAAAATGCTCTGGTGTCTGCTTTGTATAGAAACATCTTTGGAAAGAGCAGCTTTGTCTCTCTTTGTATAAGATAAAACACAGTGTTAAGAGGGCAGTGTTGAAGGGGTTTGGTTTTCTTGTTTTATTTTTTTCCCTCTTCCCTACTAAGGAAAATTGCAATATGTATTCTGGTGTATCCATCTGTTGCAATTTTTACCTGTCTGTAACCATCAGAATATTGTCAGTTTTTTGTTTGTGTGTCCTTCAGCTTCTTTTGAACCTGTCTTGGTGGGAATAGTTCATTCAGAAGAGAATTGGTTGATAACATGGTGTTCAAAGTGCTTGTCTGATGGAAAGGGATGTGGAATGTTTCCTGCTCCAAAGACAGGTTTCTTCCTTGGCCATTGCCACAGGCCCTTGGACTGCGGTTCCTGCTGACTGAAAAGGCAGGACATGGACCTGCTGGAGCGAGTCCAGAGGAGGCCACGAGGGTGGTTACAGGGCTGGAGCACCTCTGCCATGGAGAAAGGCTGGAGAAATGGGCTTGTTCAGCCTGGAGAAGAGAAGGAGGATCTGGGGAGAGCTTGTTGTGGCCTTTCAGTATAGAAAGGGGCTTATGAGAAAGGCAGAGAGACTTTTAAGCAGGGCCTGTAGTGACAGGACAAGGGGCAACAGTTTTAAACTCAAAGAGAGTAGATTTAGATTGGGCATGAGGAAGAAATACATTAGGATGAGGGTGGTGAGGCTCTGGAACAAGTTTCCCAGAGAAGCTGTGGATGCCTCATCCCCTGGCAGTGTTCAAGGCTGGGTTGGAGCAACCTGGGCTAGTGGAAGGTGTCCCTGCCCATGGCAGCGAGGTTGGAACTTGATGGTCTTTAAGGTTCCCTTCCAACCCAAACCATTCTACGATTCTGTGAAAAAGGAACTTTGATGTTTTAAAAGGATGTGACTGCTCATGTCCCTAAACCCTTTGGTTTGTATGGGACAGGTTTGGCCTGTGTCCCCCTTGAATTGTCTCTGGAGCCTTCAGTGCAAAGGGAGATTTTGAGTTGCTCAGTTCCTGCTGGCCAGGAGGACTGGCCATGGGCTGTCAGTTCTGTGATTTGTGTGTTGAACAAGCTGAGTTTAAGTTGCCTTATGCTGGGCTCACTGGCTGTTTTGGGTTTCTCCACTGGGTTTTATTTGTTAGAAGTCTTGATTTCTTAATTTTGTCACCTCACCTTCCCCTTTCCCAAATCAGAATTAGGACACCTGAGTGAAGTGTTGGAGTATCTTTTGGGTTTAAATCTAAATCTCTGCTTCACTAGTCTGGAGTCTGAGCAAATCAACTGAAGGGAGGACCTGTCTTGCTGATAAAACAATTGTTTTTGACTGCTTAATCTTTGGCATTAACAATTTTATTGCTATGTTTAACCAAAGTTTGGGGCAAAAAGGTGTTATATACACTAATCCAACTTTGCAATACTCTTGGCAGCTCTTTTACATGAATAGTCTGGCTTGTTGGGTTGGCATGACTCAGTTATTCAGAGTATTTGATGGAGGGAAATGAATGACAATTAAAAGGGATACAATTACTTGAAAATGTTATTCTAGACTATTTTGCAGATTAAATGAGCTTCCACAAAGAGATTTAAGTACTGTAGGTCCTGGTGTTAAAATATACTAAGTGCACTGTGATGGAAACTTGACAACTAAAACAGTGAAGAAAAAGGAAAAAATATATGGCTTTAAATTCTGAAAATTCTGAAATTCTTTTTAAGGTTCTTAGAATTCATTGCAAGTTTATGGGACTTTTACATTTATTTTTTGATGAGATTTAACATATGGTGACTACTGGAATTATAATTGGTAGTCCTTCAAAACATAAGTGATGATCTTGATAAATTTTATGATTTTGTTCAAGCCTGATGTTGTAAAACATTATAAGAACTTATTTTTGTTGGCTATATTTACGGCTGAAAAAAAAATCATTTTTGTTCCTCCTTTTAGGGGCACAAGAAGTTCTCATTGATCCAGGTACATTATTTTCCTGCATGTTTCCGAAGTATTTTCTTTTATTACGTGAATATGTTTTGTATTTGTGTAGATAGTTACTGCCACTTGCCAAAACTAGTAATGATCCTTGTTGCTTTAGTTTTTTTGGCTATAAATCTGGAGGAAGCAAAGAGATTGAAGGGTAAATGGCACAAAATAAATGATGTAGTTCCATGATTGTGCCCCTGTAAATTCCAGTCAACATTGTTACTTCCCATGAGTAGTGACAATTTATAAATTTTTTTTAACTGACAAACCTGACTGGTCTCATGTAGTGTCATGGTGCTCTTTCAGTCATCAAGGACATTTTTCGCTAGACTTCCATGAAAGCCCTGTTAATCTACAGATGTGCTTGGTACAATTTGTAAGGTTGATAAACATATAAAAAATTTGCCTTAGCATTTGAGCATGTAAAATAACATATTTCTAAATATATAGAGGGAGCAGAAAGTATCTTTAACAGTAGTTTTCAACTGTCTGCTGAGAGTTAGGGCCAGCTCTGAAACACAAGAGATTTTCTTGCCATCTTAGTAGAGAAACCTCCCAGAGAAATAAATTCCCATATAATCCTATAGATTAAGTAACACATAACAAGGTATTGAGCCTTGCCAAACCTTTGATGTATTTTCTCACTTATGTTAACTCTTCAATAAAATCAAATTCTAGAAATAAAATTTTCATGCTCTTTCTAATATCCCAGATTTCCTTGGCTTCTATTTCACATTCTTATCCCTTATGCATGTGAAGACTCTGTCTCTCACCTTCTTTCTTATAGATGAAAACCAATTTCTCACTGTTCTGTCTGAGCCTTTTCTCTTCGGTGTGCTTTAGAAATACAGCTTTAAAGTAGAACAAGGAATAGTTCAGAGATTGAAGTTGCATATTCAGATGTGGCCATAATCTAATTTTAGCTATCTGTTACTTTATTCATAGTCTAAACATTCATTTAAGTGCAAAAAATTATGGTGAAAGATTATTTTCTGTTTGTTGGCTCATGACTGAGTCCATTTTTCTTGTGTACTGTTTGAAATACCATAGTAAAACAGAACTAGTGTTTCTAGCCAGAGCCTGATTTCTTTTTAGGTAGGGCAGGTGTGCTCTGTGTACCCTTTGTCAAACCTACAGCATATCCTAGATTTGTTTTTAGGTATTCAGCACTTTGTAGAAGTCCTTGTGCTCATTCCTTACCCTGTTCTGTTCCAGGTGCTCTGACTTCCAACGGTATAAATGCAGATACCAGTGCAGAGATAGGACGTGCCAAGAACTGCCTGAGTCCTGAGGACATCATAGATAAATACAAAGAAGCCATTTCTTACTATGGCAAGGTAATCCTGCTTATTTTTAAGAGACTTCACTGAAATTCTTTTCAACAGTGGACTGCTGTGGCTTTGGTTTGGGAGGATCTTCTAAAGCATGTGCTGGGAACTTTGTAAAACAGTTTCCAGCTCAACTGGAGCAATTTTTAGGTTTTTGTGCAAATGCTCAGAGCCTGAGATGGTAAGAGAGCTTAATGTCTGCATTCATAATAGGAAAAGAAAAAGAATGATTTCATACTGTGACAGTAGTGGCTCAGTGTCCACATCAACATTAAAGATAAGTTTCATGTATTGCAGTGGAATTACTTATGCTTCAATCATTTTTAATTGCAGGTATTTCTCTTGTTAGATATACAGATTATCTTTAGACTAAGCTAGGTAAATATAATAGGCATTTCCGTGTTGGTTTTGGAGAGAGACTCTCCAAATGAAACAAGATCATTGTGCTCATGAGTTAATTTATGGTCTGGAGCAGTGAAAGGTGATAGTTTTGGGTATAGTGTCAGATAAATTGGAATCCATCAATAAAACAGTAATTCTCAAGGATGCATTCAGCTTGTTAATGTTACCTTAAGGTAACATACTCTTTCATCTAGAAAGAGTGTGATTTCTTTAGAAATATGAAATTATTGGACTTTGTTGGGCTTAGGGCAGGATATTTATATTTTGATTATAATAATATACATGATGTTCTCAGCAAGTAATAACTGTGCCTCACTGCAGCTTCACTTGCAAATACCAAAGAGGTTTTTTGTATTGGGACTGATATATGACTTCAAGACAAGCACAGTTACCTTCTGTCTGTTCAAGATCTACAGACAGAGCAACACCTTGCTCAATGCTGAGGAAGCAGCACTTTCTACATGTTTTTTTATGTTATCACTGAACTGAAGAAACTTTTGTAGCACCTTCTAAAATGGATTCAATCTCCAATGATTTGCTTCTGCTGATATAAATGCACAAGAGAGGAACCTGTAACTGCTTTGGTAGATTAACTCCTGCATTTTGTTAGGAGATTTTTTTCCCTCATTAGTTTTCAAACATGATAAATCGCTGAACAGAGTTTATCTGCAGCAGGAGATGGGCTGACTCACATGTCCAGTATCAGTGTTGTTTGAGGAAACAACGAGATCAGCTTGTTTGTCTAGAAAATTGCCTGTTTGTTGTCTGAGCTCAAACAGATCAATGCACGTTGTCTCCTGCCTTCCTTGAGCAAGCTAAATAACTAAACAGTCATTTACAGGAGGTGTTTTGTAAACTAGAACACCGAGAATGGTTTGTAATTCTCTTGTCATCAGTGAATCTGTTTCATTTTAAATAAAGAGAAAATTGATTCAGTAATAAAAATATTTTTGCTTACATACCTATTGCACTGTGAAAGTAGAATTTATTTGCAGGCACACTACCCACACCCACTATATATGAGCTTATCCAAAATGGTACTAATATTCCCAACTTTTCTCCTCATGTGAACTCTCAGAAGCTATGCAGTGTCTCAAAATAATAGAAGTGAGTGAAGAGCCTGAAAACGATTGTTTTGCATAATAACATTTCAGTTGACACCTTAATTTTCACTTGGGCATATGTTGATAATTTAACAGTGTAGTCATTAGCATTAAGGAATTGCTGGGTTTGGAAGATGTGACAGCTGATTTATATGCTGAGCAGAAATGCTTATAAAACCTAACAGGTGCAATCCTTCAATATTATTTTAATTTTCTCCCTCTCCAAGTACAAGAACGCTGGTGTGATTGAACTGGAAGCTTGTGTGAAGGCAGTGAGAGTCCTTGCAATACAGAAGAGGAGCATGGAAGCCTCTGAGTTTCTGCAAAATGCAGTTTATATCAACCTTCGTCAGGTTGGTGTGGAAAGTCCAGTTATTTTTCTCTTCTCGTTTTACAGACTATGCTGAAAGTTACTTAGATTCAGGAGACTGCAGTTTATTTTGTGTTTCACCACCCTCCTTCTCACTAGGACTTGACATCTGAGGATTTTTATGTCTGTGACTCTGGCTTAAAAGGTATTCAGAGTTCATCTGAAAACATGAGGACTTAGTTTGAGATTAAAGACTCTATTGGTTGTTGTCCATTGGAAAAAAAAAACATTGTTGTTCTCTTGTGATATTGTACCAGGGAAAAACAGCTTCTTGGGACTGGTCTGCAAGGGATCTTTTTAATTTTCTTGATTGCATCTCATTCAGTGAAACTATGAGCAAATCAGGAGTGGTTTGTTGCAGAGTGAGCTAAGGAGTCTGATTAGTTCTGTTAATCAATTGAATTTTTGTTGTGTAGTGCAAAGTCTTAATTAAGCCAAATCAGAAAGAAATTCAGGGAGAAAATCAGTATCCACAATTGTGGGAAAAGTGCTCAGCAGTACCACACAACAGGACTAACACTTGGTCAGTGTCTCAAGTTGGTGTCACTGGTTACAGAGAGACTGCAGTGGTTGTAGAACTAATAAAGAGCAGTTGGATTTCTCACTGGTTTTTGCTCATTACATCTTGGTAAGATGAGCAATTTTAAGTCCACACTATTGAGGTTATTAAACTGAGAAAGGGACAGCAAATTTATGAGGGAGGTAGAAACCTTTCTTTCATTTGCAGAGAATCCTTTCTCTGGAGTCAATTTTCTAACTCAACATAAATGAGAAATTAATTAATTGATAAGCTATCGTACAAATCATCAGTTTTCTTGCAGAGTACCTTAACTGCTGTAATCCTTGTAGTGCCAAGGGCCTTCTCTCTAATTCTGTAATCTGTCTTTTGCTGGCAGCTCTGCAACTTTTCTGTAAGCTGCTGGGGCAGTATTTTTCTCTTCTTGTCCTGGTGCTGTTATTCTCATGGCCTGCAAACTCCAATATTGTTGTTATGTTGTTTTTCTTCTGGAAGGAATTACTGCCATGGTGAGAATCCCCTGTTCTCCTCCCTGACACACTCACGTTGCAATGTCCACTTTATATTAGAGGAAAAAAAATAACACCTAGTGAAAAGCAAAGTATGTAAGTCACTTCAGTAGCTGAAAAGTATTGCCAGTAATACACAAAGACAAAGCTTGGCAGCAAGAAACACGTGCCCTGATCAAATCTTGCCAGTAAACCTTCTACCAGTACAACCTAAACCAGGACAGGCTGGGACCTCTGTGTGGCTGGGGAGCAACTTGGCTTTATTATGTGAAGTATGAGTAACATAATCTTTCCAGGGCTGGGGAATGTATCTTCCATAAAGAGAGGTATGAATGGAAATTATATTTACAGCTCTTCAAGATTTAGAGTATATAGCATGGAAGCAAATAGTAGTTATATTTATAATTTGGTCTAACTCAGAGGAGGAGTCATCCTGTGATACCTGAGGGAAACAAGCTGTAGGACAGTGTTTTTCATTTGCAGGTAGATAGAACATCAGCACAACCAATATTCAACAACAGCAAAAACACGTCACAGGTTAAAGTGAAAGACTCATAAACAGGAAAACTTGGTTTCTGTCCATAAATTCAGTCTCCTGCTCAGTCTAGTAATATTGTGTAATTGGTGTTTTCTGATGAGCTGCAGGGTAATCAGACTTAACTTTGCATTCAGTTATGAGGAATAAATTGTAAAATCTAATTACAAAGAAAGTGTGGTTATAAAATTTTAATGTAGTAAGGAATAATTAAAAAACAAATAAAAAGCTGCGTTCTTGAAAGCCTGGCTTGAAACAAGGCTGTGAAAAAACTGGCTCCCTTGCTTGGATAGGGAACTCCAGCCTTTCCAGGTGCAGCTGTAACTTGATTGGGTGTAACAGTTAAAGGAAAATCAACCAGGTGGAAAAGATGTTGTGCTTCAGGTGGTGGCTGTTCTGCAGCCACTTTATAGGCATTAAGCTTTTATAAATTGGTGAGATCAGGAAAGATGTTTGTGAGTGCTCCACTCCTGCTCTGCAGAATGCCTGCTGCACCCTTCCCAGGATTAATTACTTGGAGTATCTGTGTGGGCTTTTCTCCTTTTTTTTTTTCTTTTCTTGTTTTTAATTCCTGCATAGTGACAAATAACTGTTTGTGCTCAGGGAAAATGCAATTTTGCTGTCTTTATGGTGATGAGAAAACAGTTTCCTGAAATGGCAGAACATACTTGAGTAACTTTGGGGACAACCATTAAGCAAACAAGTCAGGTAACAGGACTTACTCAGATATGATGAAAATAAAACTTTCTGAGAATTTGTGGCTTCTCTGATAGTTGTTCTAATGATTAGTGAGTGCTCCTGTCTACCTAAATAGCATGACCCTGTTTTTTCTCATCTTAGAGAATTTAGTTTCCATAGGCGTGTGAACGTTGACAGTATTTGTATTTGAGGAATAGCTTTTGTTAGGGGTTTCTTTTAAGCTCTTTTTGCTTTAGTTCATGATGATGTGTTGTGCCCTTTCCAACTCTGCTGCCATATTTTTTATTGTTCTAACTTTTAAAAAATGGCATAAATGAAAAAAAGAGGAAAAAAAGGTGGAACAGCTTGTTTCTGTTGGAGTAGGTAACTTTAATCTGACCCCTCTTGTTCTTTCCGAGTGATTGCTTTTGGGAACTCCGATAAACTCGTTAAAAATTGTTCTGTATTTTCTTTTTGTACCCTGTGTGCTTTCCAGCTGCATTGATTCCTGAAAGTTTTCACCTTGGTGCAATTGCCTTTTTACAGCTGTGGGTACAGGGCTTGGTCTTTTTTAGGGATGGACAATATTTCTGCATCAAGATGTTGTCTTGTGTCAGTTCTGAAGAAAATAACAACTTCAGCTTCAAAAATGGTCTGGAACTTTCCATAGTGATTTGCTGGTCTATTTGTATCTCTTCATATCCTGAAGGATGAAGATTTCATGGTACCCTCTGAAAACTCTTCTTTGAGGTCTCTCACATCCCTCTGTCCAAAATTAGAAGAGGCTTTTAAAAACAGACTATTTTTGTAGTTATGTCAGGATTTAAGTGACTAAAAGATGTTTTGAAGCTTCAGTTAAGACCTGATTATTCCTATGAAAGCTCACCAGTGTGGTTTGCATCTTCCTTTGACTCTCCAAGGCTTTAAGTTTCCGAAGTTACGTGCACTGATTGATACTTTCAGTTTTGAAGAATGAGCTGCAGAAACGCTGTTTCTGTCCCTTAGTGCTATTTTTGGATGAAGTTTGTCGTTTGAAACGCCTTTGCAAAACATGTTAGCAGCTTTAGAGTAATTTAAAATACATTCTATTGCTTTTGATTGTGCCTGCCTGGTCCCGTGCACTAGGTGTCAGCATTGGCCTGTTCTGCTGGTTACTGGGACAGAGAGTTGGAAGTATTTGGTATCACCCAGAGTTTCTATGGCAGTTTGTTCTTGTCTGTCTGATTCCAAAGCGAGGTTTCATTCAGACCAAAGGGGAAAAGAATGGTTGCCTGGGGCTTGTGTCAATATATTGATGAGCTAAAGAAGCCCATGGTGGTTGTTCCTTATCAAGTTTGTTTCAACCTTAAGCCTAATGGGGCTTTAACTAAATTCCACCTCACTAGTTGCCAGTCTGCACATGTGTCATAGAATCCTTTAGGTTGGAATAGACCTCTAAGATCATCAAGTCCAACCATTAACCCAGCACTGCTGGGTCCAGCACTACACCATGTCCCTGAGTGCCACATCTACGCGTCATCTCAATCCCTCCACGGATGGCGACTCCCCTGCTTCCCTGGGCAGCCTCTTCCAGTGCTTGACTCAGCAAAGAAATCTGGGTCTGTATCTTCCTATGATGTTTTGCTACTTTAACATTGTTTTTTACATTGTTGAGAAAGCTCACATTGGGCTCATTAATATCCTTTGAAACTTGCTTCGTGCAGGGCAATGAGGAGACACGGGCACAGGTTGCCCAGAGAAGCTGTGGCTGCCCCATCCCTGGAAGTGTCCAAGGCCAGGTTGGATGGAGCTCTGGAAAACCTGGTCTAGTGGAAGGTGTCCCTGCCCAGGGCAGGGGTTTGGAATGAAATGGTCTTTAAGGTCCTTTCCAACCCAAACCATTCTATGATTCAGGCTCACAGTGTGAAAATCACAGTACAGTGTCACGGAATTGAAATTTTGTGGTTTACAAGATTAGAGACATAAAAATCGAGACAGTAATTTCATGCTTTCATAGCCTGAGATTTCAAGATTAGATTTAATCTTAAAGAGATGAAAATCTTTAACTTAGTAAACCAATAAATTTTGGAAGTGGTATATTTTGGCGTTCTTTTTATGCACATGAATATCTTGTTGAATATCTTCCATACAATGTGTTTAGCTGTTACTGGCTGTTTTGACTGTTTACTTGTTAGTACCACTGACAAATAAGTTTCTGCAGAACTCCGTCTTTGCAGTTTTTGTTAGTTGTTGAACCAGGCTTAAGTTTTCCTGGCAGTAGAAGCACATGCCTGGCTATGTGCAAAATCCCCGGCCTTCTGCAGTGCTGGAGATGTCTCCTACATTTTTTTTTTTTCTCCTCCTGCTATTTTTCTTAAACTCAGATGCACACTTTAAAATTCAGATCAAACCCAGTCTCTTTCTCTTTTGCCTTGCAATGTCAGCTCTCAGAGGAGGAGAAGATCCAGCGTTACAGCATCCTCTCGGAGCTGTACGAGCGGATCGGTTTTCACCGGAAATCGGCTTTTTTCAAGCGCATCGCGGCCATGCAGTGTGCAGCCCCCAGCATCCCCGAGCCCGGCTGGAGGGCCTGCTACAAACTCCTGCTGGAGACCCTCCCTGGGTACAGCTTGTCACTGGATCCTCAGGATTTCAGCAAAGGTAGGTGTCTCTGGGAAAACGTGGGTCACCGCAGTGGGACACCCAACTGGCTTCCTGTAACTGATTTCCTGGAGAGATTTCATGTTTCATATTTTGATGTTTCAAACGAAAATTATTTGCTAGTCTGAAGCTAACTGCAGCAGTTGTTTAACACTGTACTTTCACTTTTTCTTAGTGTTGTTTCAATGCTTTTGTGCAGGGCTAAGAGTTGGACTCGATGAGTCCCTTCCAACTTGGCGTACTCTGTGATTCTGTAAGAATTTCAGATTTCGTGGGGCACTGCTGAATGTGTTGCTGTGTTCCTCTGTTTTCAGCAAGTAATTATGTTTTATTTATGAAAACTTGATTTCTAATGTTTTTCAGAAATGTCTTTGTTTTGATTGTGCACTTCTCAGTACAAAAAAAAAGGGTCATATTTTAATTTGGAATATTTTTTCAATTAAAATGCCTCCAACTTTTGTATGAGAAATTGTATTTCCTTTGATATTTGGTGCTGTTTGATCTTATAATGAAAGAAAAAAGATTCTTTTAGGTATTTTTGTATATAGACACACATACATACATATAATTATATCTGTATGTGTAGGGTCAAATATGTCACATTTTCCCGCAAATTAGATCAGAGACAGCTAATAGGGTGCTTGGGAACTCCTTTTGAGTAAACCTTTCCATGTAACCCAAAACCTTGCATTCTGAAATGATATGTGAGAGAAGGTAGAAAATGCCAAGTAGACTACATGGAAAGACAGAGTCTAGGAAGAGGGAATGTACTGGGAAAAATGTGCTGAGGCCTGGGATGGGAGTGTGTTGGGAGAAGAGGCTGTAAAAGTTCTGTAAGAAATGATGATTAAGAAAGGCAAAAAAAATTACAAGATTGGTGTTTATCTTTCATTTTTACCTCACCTTTATGTTGTGTTGAAGTGCTCTGTCTGATTTTTACCCCAAAAATGGCTCTTTTAGAGGCACATGGAAGGATCACTGTAAACTTTAGGAGCTACTTGATAGAAAGGACATTTCACACATGGAAAATAATGAGAGTCTTGAGTGCAAAATATAAACTCTCCAGGTTTGGTTGCAGTAAATATTCCTAGAGGAATTTGCCAAATGCTGGAGGGTGATATTAGAAGGAAGGCTGTTGAGAAGTTTGTGAAGTATTGCACATCTTGGAATATTTGTTATTTAAAAATTACTGCTCTTACTTACTACTAAAAACAAGTTAAGTTTCATGAGGAGTGCTGCATATAACAGTTTTGAAGGAAAAGTTACATTATGATGATCTATTTATTGTAACCACAGATAATTTGCAAATAGGAAATAATTCATAGTCTGAAACTTAGTTTTTAAAGACTGAAAACCAGGATATGTGCATCATGTTCTGAAGTTTTATTGCTTTTTACTGATTTTTATTGGCCAGGAAAGCATTTAGAGGAAATATCTCTTTCTTCATCTTTAAAGAGAGTTAAGAATTACTTGATTTTTTTTTTTCCCCCATGAGGATATGTGGTGATAGGACAAGGGGGAATGGCTTTGAACTGACAGAGAGTAGGTTTAGATTAAATATGAGGAAGAAATTCTTTCCTAGGAGGGTGGTGAGGCCCTGGAACAGGTTGCCCAGAGAAACTGTGGATGCCTCATCCTTGGAATTGTTCAAGGCCAGGTTGGATGGGGCTTAGAGCAACCTGGTCTAGTGGAAGGTGTCCCTGCCCATGGCAGGGGTGTTGGAACGAGATGATCTTCAAGGTCCTTTCCAACCCAAACCATTCTGTAATTTTATGATTTCAATAAAAATTAAGTTTCTGTATGAAGTGAATTTCTTGCCCAGAGAATTTAAAAAAATATAAAACTTCTCAGGTTTTATGTATCATTTGGTTTTTCCTTCATGGGAAGCGTTAATTTCATTTTCTGAATTTTAATGATACATTTATTAATGGATAGACAAGCCTATAAAACAAAAATTGATTTCCTGTTTAGGTATTCAGGCAAACTCAAAAGATCCTAATTTTTATTTCGAGTATGAGATTTGGATTTTGTAATTACTGGTTCCGTTGGGTGATTGTTTTAAGTGTCATAAAATTGCTGCTTAGTATATAAAGAAAACCGAAATCAATGTGTTTGTGATGACTCCTGGCTTTAAAAAGTATTAAATCCGTGTTTCCTTGCCAGGCACTCACCGAGGGTGGGCTGCAGTGCAGATGCGTTTGCTCCATGAGCTGGTCTACGCTTCCAGAAGGATGGGCAATCCTGCCCTGTGTGTCAGGCATCTGTCCTTCCTCCTCCAGACCATGCTGGATTTCCTTTCTGACCAAGGTATGACTTTCAAAAGAAGGAGATATTTGCGCTTTCTTCTGTCCTACAGTCAAGTAATGCAACTCTGTTTTGAAATATGTCTAATTTGAGCAGTGATGGAGAGCATGGAACTTGGGGAATTCTGTGTGTGCCTGAGGTGGGTTGTTGATGGGAATCAATCAACAGAGAGTTGGAACAAGATGATCTTTAAGGTCCCTTCCAGCCCAGATCATTCTGTGTTTCTAACCTCTAGAAGCCGAATGTGATGGACTTGAGTTAAACAGTTTCTAACTAGGACAGTGGGCTTAAGTTTCTCTAAGTTTCTTTCAAATTTTTATAAGTTCAGCAGTAAGTTTTAATGGGATTTAATAAATTTTTCAGTGGAATGAATGTGTCTGTGGATGATGTTCAGAAATGGGAACGATGCGTGTGAAGATCCTTTTGTGGGGAAAGGGATGTGCAGGCTTTACAGAATTACCTGGAAAAGCCCAGAGTGCCAACTGTTGTGTTTGTATTATGTTTCTGAGGAAAAAATATTTCAGACTGACTTGTTTATCACCCATCTTAATGAGACTAATGAGCGTAATGAGTGCTGAGTTTTAAAAATTATTTTTGCTTCTCAGTAAACCAGGTAAGAAATGCATTTTTTCCAACTATTCCCTTGTGTATCATAAAAAGGATGAAATTGAAAAAGTGTAGGGATTTTTTTTTTCTTTTCTCCTTTAGTTATGGCCAAATATCTCTCCTTGGTGACTCCTGCAGCAAAAAACTTTAGGTATTTGCCTGCCTAATTCCCTCTTTTTGATGGCTCAAATCGGTAGTGGAAGAAGGAGAAGAACTGAAAAACTAGAGTAAATGATCTTTTTGTCCGTAGATCTTATTTGCTGTCAAAAGGTCCTTGAATTTTCCAGTGTTTGTAGTTGATATGTGTGGAAAGTTTGGCTGGAAACAAGGTTTTAAGCTCTTCCACTGTGCATGATACTGCTAATTCTTAGTCCTGAAAAGGTTTGAAATCTTCAAGAGAAGCAGCTTGTGTGTTTCTTGCCTTCAGACACTATGTCTGAGTAAAGCATCCAGTTCAATGAGACCTGATATTTCTGGCTTGTCATTTTATTTGTAATTCTTCTGAGATTGGTATTGTGTGATCATGGAATCATTAAGGCTGCAAAAGGCCTCCAAGGTCATCAAGTCCAACCTGATGTTGTGCAAGGATTTGATTTAGCATAGAAACTTACTTTAAATTTATAGGGTTTTTTAAAAAAATATCAGAATATTAGGAAAAAATAAAGCAACAAACCCTGTTTAATCTTGGATTGTAGGAAAGGACAGAAGCAAGACTATTGAGTACATAGGATCATGTTATTACTCTGAACTGTTTCCCTTAACTGTTAAAAAGGTTTTGTAATCAGTACTCTCTGATAATCACATGACTGAAATGTCCAGGTTTTCTTATCCAATTGAAGTTTTAATAAGAAACAGAAATAATCCAGGGGCATTGGAGTTCAAGAATTCTACAATTTTACTATTTTTCTGGGCTGCATAGAAAGTAGCCAAGTTACCAGTTACTAGGTGGAGGAAGACTCACTCTTCTGAAAATTAGGTTTTTACTTGAATGTCTTGTTTCTTAAATAAACTTCATATTTTTAAAGCTTGTTATTAATAATACACTAAATCCTATGCTTGTATTTAAAATTTGGGTAGTTTGCAGATCATCTTTAAAAATAGAATAAATAGAAGTAAAAAGTCTTAAACTGAGAGGAAGTTACCAGCTAAACATTTCCAGTGGCACTGTACCTTGATCTTCTAACCCTTTTTCTCTCAGGATTGGGTGCTTCTAGACACAGAAGAGGAATATTTTCTAATTTGTTAATCTAATTCTATTCATTTCTAGTTCAGTTGAATTTGGATTATTGGGACTTCAGAAAACAGAAAAAAATGATTTATTCTTCAAGTAGAAATTCAGCAGATGAGATTTAGTTATTACAATGAAATCTAGATTGGTTAATTAGAAGTTCTTGCTTCTGTTCACAGGACACAAATGAATAGTCAAAACTGGTTCGTGTTTAAAACAAAATTTAATGTTTTAATTGAATGACAGTTATTTTAAAATACAGCTTTTGTCTGTGTTTACTTGAATTTACTTGAATCTGCAACCATGCAGTCTGACAAATCTAAATAAAAAGTATCATCAAGTAAATGAGAGATGTCATCACTGTTTTAACAACATGGAAGCTAAGAATCTGGTTTAAAATAAAACTATTTAGTTACATAAATATGTAAAATGCAATATTCTGCTCAGCAAAAAGAGGTACCAAATTCTGCATTAAACATCTAATCTCAAGCCATTATGTTTTAATGTTAACATTTCCCTTGAGAATCACTTTCTTTAAATAAGAATTAAAATGTGCAATTGCAAAGTTGCTTGGTATTAAATGTGTCTTTTGCATAATGCTTTTTGAAACAAGACTGTGTGTGCAGCTCAGTGAATTTGAGTTGGGTAGGGTCAGATACTGGGGGAAAACTCCAATATTTTACTGTGGGTCTTTCCTGATAATTTTCATCCTGCTTAAAAGGACCATGGTTTGTGTTGTGTGCAAATGATTCTGAGTAGGCTCATCTATTCGGGCCTCTCTAACCACAGAACTGTTTGGAAAGAGCTGCAAAGGAAATGTGACTGTCCACACAGAAACCACTCACAGGGAGCATGTCCCTCACCCTGCCAGCTCACATTCTTCCAGACATTCAGCAGGTTTCCAGCTGTCATTCCCGCTCTTTGGCTTCTGGTGGCAAAGATCTCAGTGTGCTGAGGTGACCAGGCATAGCATGGATGAGATGAGGAATGCTTCATTCTTTTTTTTTTTTGTGGGCTAGTTCAGTTCATTAAAGATACTCAAAGTTTGGCTGTTTTATTATCTGTGAAATAATGTGCACTTTCCAGTGCTTCTCAGTGTAGCTCTGCTAAGATCTTGAGATCCTTGTGCTTGAGTTCTTTCCAGCCTTCTAGTGAGGTGACAGCCTTCACATCCGAGATCTCTGCTGCTCTGTCTGTCATGTTCTTAATTAATTCAACTACTGACTCTGTAATGAGTCTTCATTAAACATGAAGAAATAATTTTTCACCTGCTGACCAGAGTTCTTGGATGTCTTTATTCTTGAGTTGACAGTAGGTGATGGAGACAACTGAGGGAACTGTACTTCCTGGAATATCCTAGTGTGCCTTCCTGTCTTTCCTGTGTGTGGTTGATTCTTGTATAATTGGACTCTAGTTCCAGCTGCATCCTCTGTAACCAGACTTTAGCGGGGAGGTTGGTTCCCTAAGCAGTTTGGCCGGGCTTTGGGATTGTGGAAGCTAAAATGAAGGTGCACATTGACCTTCTGACACCAGTTGTACCTGTTTATCCTGGACAGTCAGCAGGCAGAGGTGGCAAGACAAATGACAATGTTCCATGTTTTTTTTCTTCTCTCCATCGTGGTTGTTGATTTTGGATGCAGCCAACATGACTGACTGAGCTCTCTTGGGACCCTTTAGGTGCTTCTCCACCCAACTGGGTTGTCAGCACAGGTACCATTACACCGTTAGCAAGGTCTGTGGTATCTCAAAATGTCTCTTCTGCTGAATCAAATTCCCCAGATCAACAGGCAGACTCTCTTTAGAAACAGAACCACACTGGCTGTGTGAAGAACGACTATGTGGCCTCTCATGTATGTACATGTTAACCTTTCAGCACCAGAAAGACACAAAATAGTGGATATCATGTAATCCAGAATCCTTGTGGTGATCTTTGCCTTTAGCCTTTTCAGCAGCAGCAGTGACCAAAAATAAATAGGCCACGTTCCACAGCCATGACCACAAAACACCTGTCAGGTTGGCAGGTCAGATAAACTTGTTGTTCCAGTTTTGCTGATCTGGTTTTTGGTGCTTCTTAGCTCACCAAGCATAAGACTTTGACCAATTCTAGCTTATTTATCTTTCTACTGGTGTCATAAAGAAATTTGTTTTAGCCCTAGCAAGCTAAAAATGATATCCTGGGCTTCATTACAAATACCCCAGTGACAGAGGCACGTCCTTCCCAGAGTGGATACTCATCACCCTGGCCACAGTCACTGATTCTGCAAAAAGACATGAAATCTTTAGTGAAAGACTTTGTCCAGGAAATACCCTGGAGTGGCTGAGAGAATTCCTTGGGCAGGAGTTTTTATGGTGTATATCAGACAGTGACTGCCTGGCATGGCTGCACTTGCTCAGTGGATGATAAAAACACAGCTCTACGAAAGAAAAAGGGTTCTGTTCCTTTCAAAGGTTTTGAGTTGAATTTTAAGAAATATTCTTAGTTTTCTAAATTTCATTGCTGTGATTCCACACTCCATGGTGACAGGATTCTATCCCTACTGCAGTACTGGCTATTCCTGCTGGCTCTTCAAAATCCTAGGACATGTTGATCCATGCCATGCAAACCCCAGAGGTTTTTAGGTTTGGCTCCAGGCTGTTTTCTCATGAAGACAGTCTCTCACCTTCCTGAAGATGCTTGTTCTCAGCCTGTACTGAGATCATTGTAACTAATAGAGAATTTCTGCCAAAATTTCTGCTGAATGCTGTTTCAGTTCCCCTCATCCTCTAGATGAGTTGGGATGGACTTGTCAGTGTTGGCTGGGCAGACCCCCTTGGTGCCTTTGACAGCTTGGATTTGTTTGTGGCTGAGGGACTTTACACCAGTGATCTGAGAGCTCTTCCAGAACCTTTTCATCCTCCTTCCCAGTCTGCTGTGCTCAAGTCAGGCTGATGTGTCAACTGCCAGGGTGAGGTCGTGTCTGTTGCAAAGAAGTGATGAGATTGATCCAAGAAAAAAACCCCAAACCTTGTTTATCTTCAGAAATGATGGTGAGCCTGGTTTGGTGATGTCAGACGTGGAGTCTTACAGCTCCTAAAATAAGCCTTTCGATCTCACAGTTTGAGAGGGGAAACTGTGCAGTATTTTAGATGGTTTTATTTATAGAACAGATTGCATATGCATTCACTTGGT